TACTTGTCCATGAAAAGAGGATAAATAAAAGAAATGATCTCGCTCTATAAGTGCAGTCATAAGTGGAACTTGTGAAGTTAATTTATATAGTTGATATTATATAGTGATAGAGACTCGAACATGTAAAGTCACATGTAGTCATTTTTAAAGCATTATCTATTGATTCTACAGCTTATTTATTTATATTACATATGATCTGTATATATTAATATTCATTTTCTAAAATTGCTTGTGTGTAACGGATTAATAATAATTTAAATCATATAATAATTACATAAATCATATAAAATAATTCTAAGTAATTATCTTTTTTTGTTTGTTTGTTTTTTTACTATATAGTGACCTTTAATTTGGAGGAAGAGGAACTGGGGGAGTGACTTTTTCGTCAGACATGTGTCACTGTGCTCACATCTGATTGGTCCAATTTCAGTTTGAGATCTCTTACCCAGAACAAATCCTGCCCTGGGGCAGGTTAGCTGTGAAGTGTAAGTTACTATGGCAATGAATGCCGCTAAAAGCCAAGCCACTTTCAAGGTACCTAAAAAACCCAGGATTGGTGCAAACTAAACTGAAACTTACCTGGCTAGCCAGCTAATCCGGCTTCATGGCACAGGCCCCTGATTAATGGTCAATGGAAAGACAAACACCTCAGTGTTCAATAATAGTTTATAAACACCAAGCGTGACAAACAGTCCACGTTATCAGTGCCCTTTGGACAGAGATACTGTCTGGGAACACTGCAAACAGCCCTACCATATGCAGTAACAATTCACAAGACTATGAAAAAAAAGGCCACAATGCAATGTCATACTGAGCTCCTGTTCTTAATTAGAAGAACATCTACATCATAGTTATCTTTGGATAACAATCTGAACACTCAATGAGGGCTGAAGAATTATTAAAAGCGTTAATAAGTGTAAAATGCCACTGCTTGCGGTGTCAGTGATTATCATGAATGATTAATAAAGAAAAGAGATTTGTATATAATAGGAGCCTAAGCGACACTCTCTTTTGTAAATAAAAAGAATGACTGAATGTAGTCATGCAGCCTACAGACAGAACAAGATAAACAAGTTTCACTTTGGCACAGTAAGTGCTGCGTGAGCGTCTTCAGTACAAGATCTTCCAGTAGGTTTCCATGGTAACAATTGGGATTTCACAAGCCTTAAACACAGTCCTACATAGAAAAACACTCGCATCCTCAAAGAGTACATCTACAGAAACAATAGTAAGAGACGAAATATGTTTACTTACTTTTGGAGCCAGGACCTGAGATGCTTTGCTGACAATCCACTTTGGAAGAGACCCTAAAGGATTAAAAAAATCATTCAAAACAGCAACAAATTTAAATCTTACAATGTAAATAAATGATGGGTGAACATTTCAAAAGAAGCAGGGAATCTGTTCATACCTCTGGGATCAGCTTGTGAGAGGTACGTGAAAATGCAGCTGTTGGGCCCTGTTGGTCTGATCAGGTAACCTGTCAGAAAGGAAACGGCCCTTACCAGATCCTTCCGTGGGGGAAATTTCTAAAATGATAGCAAGACTTTATTAAAATAAAAGTCCCCCCCATTTCTGAACATAGACGTGAAAGTGCACTACACAAACTTAAATTGTTATAATTCATGAACGCTTCTGAATACAGACCTATGGTTGGACTCTTTTTAAAGAAGACAAATCGCCAAACATTTTCACAACAGGTTTTACTCTAAAATTGCTATAAAATTAAAGCCTAACTCTAAATAAGTTATGTTCCAAATTTGAAGGTGTTATACCACAAAACTCCCAAACTCCACTGAATTTTTTTGATGCATTTTTCTGTCACAAATGTCTAAATTTCTGTCAATTTGACTTCTATCAGAATCAGAATCAGACCTTTCCAACGATACGTATTTTATCAAGATTATAAAAAGTGTTGATTCTAAAAGACCGTAATACATTTTGTAATATGACATTTGACCCCGCCTGCTAAGGGGGAGGAGACCGCCAAAAGATTTAAAGTACCATTTCCATGGTAAAGCAATGTCCGATTTCAAAATAGTTTTCACAGGATGAATTTTGAGGTTTTAAGCTTTCAAATGATATATAATTTATGATGATCACTAAAATATGTGATGGGGTAAAAAGACTGATCTGAGTTTGGATGGATGCAAACTTGTTCGAAAACAGTCATTATTTTTGCAATTGTTTTGGCACCACTAGTGGAGCAGATGACATTTTACCTTTAAGTAACTCTGATATTTCACTAGCCAGTCCACTAACTCTATAAATCAACGTACGTAACACAAAACGTATGATGACAGAAGGCGTAACTAAATAAAATACGTACCGGATGTTTCACGGAGAAGTTAATGATCACATACTCATTTTCAGATGCCTGCCATGAGCGCAGGGTCACCACATCTCTGTTCTTCAATGGGTTCGGGCAGAGCCCTGTGAATAAAGAATAAAAAAAAATATATATATTTTTTTTTTCCATTTTATGACCTGTAGGACCATAAACATCCACAACATTAAAAGACGAACCAAACTGACAATAATGTTGACTATAAATACACACAAAAACATGGTCCCAGGAGGCTTTTCTTCAGTTCTTTACTGCACTGCAATAAGCCACTGTGTATGTTACTAACAGTGTTCGGTGACTACCACTGAGACTAACAAAATCCCAAAAGATAGAATGACCGTAAGATAAGAAATAAATCTCAATAACGGATACAAATTTAAAAGGTTACATGACTCACATGAATAGTAGCCCACATCAGCATTAGGAGCCAGACGAGCGATGTCAAAACTCTCAAGCATCGTAGGGTCCCATGTCTTCCGGTACATGCCGTCATGAAGCACGTCAAACATGGTGGCAGCCGATACATCCTTTATGTTCATTCTACACTGCATTGGAAACAAAGCATTTGCTTTAGTGTTGTTACGGCAGCAGTACACACAGGTCTGGTCATGTAAATTAAATAGAGGGGAAATGTAAAGATATCGTGGGGGTCCATAGAAAATATATATATGCAAAACGAATAAACAAACATACAAATAAATAATATATAACCACACACCCACACATTTTCATAACTCCTATTAAATCATGTATAACCATTGACCCATTAAACATGTTATGATGTAGTAATATTAATGTTCCTAACAAAAGTTATAACATTTTTATAAAGCACACGAAATCATAAACAGTTAGATGCAGCAGGCAAACATCTTACCTTGATTTTGTGCACTTTGGAGAAGTTCCCTTTGCTGTTTGTAGAAGCTGATAAAGGAGCCACCTCGACCCAGACCTCCATGTCATTTTTATCATATTTACTGAGCCAGTTCTCCGTGGACAAGCATTGTCTTTTGAATTCATTAAACATGGATTCATCTGGAACTATTCCCGTACCGCGAGACATACCTGAAACAACAGAGTCACCGATCAAAAATACAATCTTCCCAAACAAGATGCGTCTGAGGGAACTTGCTTCTATCAAGACTAAGTATCTTTGTTCTGTTCACAAAGGATGAGGTGTAACTATTATAGTCACAGATTAACCATTCAAGCTCGACGAGATTTTTCTCGCAAATTCCTTACCTGGCGTCAGCTCTTGCGCGTGGAAAAATCTCCTCACCACTTCCGGGAGTAGAACAGGTGTATTACAACACCGCAAGATGCGCAGCTAGTCACTCAGCACTGAACCACAGTGATTTGGCACACTGACATGATCCTGATTTATATTCACAGGCTTTTATGTTCTCAAGTAAGACTGTTGAACATCTGGCACAGACTGGGTGTGTCGGACCGCCCGTATTGATTGGTCATTCGGGTTCAGGTCTAGTGGTCTCTACTGCTCCACTGATTAGCATGATTAATTCATAAAGGAACCGCTAAGACGAGCTGTGAACTCCGCCTTGTGTTCATCAACCGAAAACCTTCAAATCACCGGCAACATCATTCAACCGGCTCGAGCAGTGAGGCAGCACTCATCAGTGAGAGACTGAATGGACTGTATGATACCAACAGAGGGCCAAACAGAACTTGAGAGTTTAAAAACGTATTCAGTTTATTAAAAACGTTCATTTTAATAAAAGGGCCAAATAGTCTAACCTTTTGCATATTGCAGTATACTTTATACTTTTCTATATACATTAAAGTTTTTATATATTTTTTAATATATATATATATATATATATTTATATTAAGTTTATAATATGCACAGACACATTTATTATAAACTTTTATTGAATAATTATATTTCATTTTAAAAATACAAAAAGCGTAAAGAGGAACATATTGCATAAAACTAAACATTCAGACACCAACTTTTTGTTTTTTGATGAAAATCACGATTCCCACATATTGCTAACTGCCATTCCAGTCAAGCATACAACACACTGTTTCACAAACTAGTGAGATAATAAATAAACACATGAAACCAACAGTCTTACGACGAGCAATACCAAGACGTGTCTGTACACTAAGCAATAGCCGTGTTGAAGGAAGAAATCTAAATATCCCATTTAACAAAACCTCATTAGCTCTATGCAACGTTAATAGGCTCGAGCAAACCACAGCGCTGTGGCCTGAACTGGTGCACTATGACAACAAAACAAGCAAGGCATTTTGTGTTAAACCGTCTCTAAACTGCATGCTGTTCCTACACTTGCGCAGCAAAAATAAGGCAGAAAATGAGTGGAATTAGTGTGAATTGCTTTCCATATCCAAGGTCAGATCGACGTGTTATGATAGTTTGGTTAGTATGTACACGTTTTTACAATTAACGTTAGGTTTTGTAAATACAGTCGTGGATAAGTCATTAAATATCTTAGGTTTTGAGTTTTAACTAAATTAAATGTGTTTACAAAGCAATTTCCCTTTACTAAGAACATTAAATCCTATTTTTTTCCCCAAAGCTCAATACATTCTACATCCATGCAACCCTCCGAAAATTCCTGTATAAAATTGGCCTGTCCAAGAATGAGGATTGTCACAAACAAAACCAAACTCATTTTTTGGCCATACATGTGTATTTCCTGAAACAAAAATACCTTTACGTGATATCTGGTCCCAAATACCATCTTTAACGTGGAAACATCCAATTATAAAGAACATTGTGTCCATGATATTTCACAACAATTTCAAAAGAGATCCCTTCTGTATCTTTCTTTAAATAACTTCTGCCAAAGAAAACACACTAACAAAATAGTGTGTAATGTAAAAAAAATCATATGAATCAGTAACACAAGACTACAGCCTCTCAGTACAATTAATGTCAAGCTCTTCCTCCGGTGAAATTATAAAAAGACTTAAAATGATGACATCAGCCCCAGCTCTGAAACATGGTAACTTCACAACAATTATGAACTCAACTCAAACACAAACTCAAGAGCATGTGAGTGTATATCAGTCTGCAATCCCATATAATGCCATGCAGCCACAACAGATGAGAATCTGAACGGTTTTAGCACTTAATCTATGCTGTGATTTTACTTTTTTCCCCATTAATATATGTATTTTTGGAATCCATTTTAATACAGAGTAATAGCACATCCACACGGTTACTCTGAAAAGTCACTGAGTCGAAGAGAAAGAAAAGGTTCTCCGCTCATGACACGAGGAACGTGAGAGGAGTGAGTGACCACTGAGAGGCAAGCTGTTTGTGTGTGAGGGGGTCGAGTGAGGGGGATGAGGGTGGTTACTAGCACGAGCAGCTGCTCTCGGTAACGGGCAGCTCCGGAGGCTTCTCCAGTTTGATGTCGATCACTGAAAGTTCAGGTTAAGGATCAGTTAGTGACTAGATCATGTGAATTCGTATAAGTATGTCTTTACCCTTGGATTACCTTACAATCATTTCTGTTAGATGTCATTTTTTGATTCCCGTTATGGTTTAAATCATGAAAAAAAAAAGAAAAAAGCACTGGCTTGTGATCTCCTGCTATCAGGCTGATGCGGACAAACTGATTCTGACATTTTAATGTGAGTGATGTTATATTTGTCAGAAGCCTTTTACGGTGCATGTGAAGGATACTGTCCTCTTTGCTTTTCTCTGGTGTACTATCCATTCCAGGCAAAGCAGCAGCAACACGACGAAACAGCTAGAAAAATAAAAAAAGGAAGTTAATTAGCTAAAACCTCTGATGCTTGGGCTATATGTACATAAATCAATGCTGGTTTAATATAAAATATATCTTAGTTGTAGGGGAGATTGGGGCTAGTTGTCAGAGGTTTTACTCTAGTCAATATTTCTACGGTTATTTTTTATTTTTTTTATAGACATCTTAACTATAAAAAAGCATTTCCACTTATATTGCACATATACACACATGGATCTTTTGTACAACTGCAAATGTCTTTACCGTCTCATTTGATCAATTTAATGTCTCCTTGCTGAGAAAAAAAAAAGTATTATATTCTATCACAACCCGATGCTTTGAATAGTAGTGCATCACTTATGAAAACTTTCTTATGTGCAACTAGCCCCGGCCTCCTCTATTTAAACTAAATTATAACTCCTACTGGGTAGAGATGTAAAAGGAGTGTATTTCTGATAACACTACTATTATAAAAAAAACTAAGTTAAAGAGACTCCATGTTCTACTCATTCTGACAATAAAAAGCAATACAATATGCTAATAAAAAGCACAATGCACAAATGAAATGTCTACATCCAGTCTGTGAATAGCAAGTGGTGCTACAACACAGCACAGAGAGAAAAATCATTCTAGTGATGCTTGGTCAACATGCAAAGGACATCTGTGACACAGGACATGGACACAGGACACAGGGAGCAATTCAAGCAAACGAAACGAAACAAAAACACAAAACAGCAGCACAATAGCACAGGACACCTGTGAATGTGAGGCGGGGGCAGAATGGCTCATAATGGGTGAGGCAGAGAAAGATAGAAACCAAAGGAAGCACAAGATAGTGTGGTTGAGGGAAGGTAGGGCTGGGCCGTCCTCGTTTCTCAGTGATTCTACCTGTTTGACATTGTAGCCAGTCTTTGCGCTGGTTTCAATGAACATGACATTCAGTTCCTTAGCCCTCTGCTCGCCCTCCTCCGTGGTAATCTGTCTGCTTGACCGGAGCGGGGAGGAGGAAAGAAATACAGAGACAAAAGAACTGCATCAAGAAGAAGAGAAAGAGACAGAGACTGACTGAGGATCACATTAGTAATGGGGAAAAAGAGGAATTAGTGTTTTGATAGGACCCCATCATAGGTTGAAAAGTTGAGAAATGGCTGAAATCGTAACAATGATAAGAGATCACCGCACTGCAGTTCAAAACATTTGTTAATTGAAGACAACCTACAACAAAAAAAATAAATGAACAGCCTATCAAGAGAAGTGATAATAACGTCGTTGGCACTTAAAAGTATCCCTTGTTTATTTTCAGCTTAAAGAGAGAGTTCACCCAGCAATTCATATTCTGTCACCCTCATGTCGTTTCAAGCCTGTTTGACTTGCATTCTTTTGTGAAACATGAAAGAGTAGCATAGAAGAATAGAGGAATATCCAAACTCCTTTCCATTCATTTAAAAAGCAGCATGGACATTTTGCTAAATGTCTTCTTTTGTGTTCCACTGAAGTTGTTATACATGTTTGTAATGACACAGGGGTGAGAAATGATGACAGCATTTTCAGTTTTTTGGGTAAACTACTCCTTTAATGTTTCTACACTGCAAAGTAGAATGCTTCTAAACAGGCAGTGATGTACAAGCAGGCGTTGATCATCTTCTGCAGAGGCGGGGTTTAGCCACACTATTACATCATAAAGTGGCACATTCCATAACCTGTCATTTTGGCAGATCGGCTTCAATATAAGCTGTTTTTAGACTAACGAGAAAGTTTTGAGATCTGAAACGTACAAATGACCTCTTACATGTCAAAAGATCAAGGGAATTTTGATTTCTCAGTTCATGACCCCTTTAAACATTTATTCAAGTTGTATTTGTATTACTCTCATTGTGTGTTTAGCTCATTTTTACAACCTGAGACAATCGACAATATGCCACAGATTTGGTTACATAAATTAGAAACCTTAGGCCTACACTACATCTGTATCATTTCACCCACCTGTTTGACGTTATAACCAGCTTTGGCGCTGGTCTCTATGTACATCACACCCAGTTCCCGAGCTTTTTTCTCTGCTGCCTCTACTGACACTTGCCTGCCATAGTCCATAGTGGAGGTGTGGACACAGTTCAAATTAGAATGGGTATGAAAAACAAAAGTAGTAATGGGAAATCAAAAATAAAATCAACACAAGAGAAAATATGATCAAACAGAAAAGAAACAATGGCACAAATTACTCAACATAATATTTAAATTAACAAAAAGGAGAAAACTGAACACAAAAAATAACTTAAAACGTGACGTCTGAGAGCAGAACAAAGGATGTGTTCATCAAACTCCTTCAAATACTGTACCTTTTATCAGCCAAGTCTGTCTTGTTGCCAACCAACATGATAATTACATCACTTCCTCGCTCTGTTCTGACATCATCTATCCACTTTGAGGTTTGCTGGAAAGAGTTGAGATCTGAAGAACAGAGGGAAAAAAGTCAGGCAAGGACTCATTAAAAAGGAAAAATGTCTTGTGTTGGAAATGACTTCATTGCTTGATCGATTTTAAAAAATCAGTTTGCACAATCCAAATTTGGCAGTGGTCAAATCACACTTGATTCATTTCAAAGCCAAGTTTTCTTAGAAGAAAGTATGCAAGCAGACTGTTAGTATGAAGATTAACAAAACAGAGTTAAAGCACAGGTCATTTCTTTGCTCAGTAACAGCAGTTTGCTGTTAAAAGAGAAGCATGTACAATCTACTTTTCATTTATTCTGAATGAAATAATACAAATATTGTTCCCAAGCAACCATACTAAGATGAACTGCCATGACCTAGAAGCAGCTGCCGAATTGTGCTAACTGTGCCCTGGAGGCATAAATCCTTGCTGAATGCTGACCCAATGAGTGAGGCTCAGACTCACTGGTGATGTCATAGACCACCACAGCAATAGTGGAGTCTCGGATGTAGCTGGGAATGAGGCTGCGGAAGCGCTCCTGCCCTGCAGTGTCCCACAGCTGGAGCCGAACCTGAGGGACCAGCAAACCGTGGTGTGCAAAGAAAACAAGTAGAACAGAGAAAAGAAAAGATATAAAGAGAGGATAGGGCAAGGGAGCAGGGTTAGAAGAAAAGGACAACATCAAAGAAACAAAACAAGAATGAAATGGAGAAATGCACCTACAAAATTGACCATTTTTTTTCTTTTGAAGTTCTGTATTTATAGATCATGACCACAAGTTTTTAGGAAATAAGAATAAGAATGATTTTAAAGACCATCTGAAGGCATTTCGGCATTTCTCCATTCCAGCTCTCTGAATGACGCTGCTTTCTGCAAGATGCTTTGCAAATGGCACTCCATACATTTTAGTATTGCTGGACATGCTTTCAGTCGAACCACATCATTTTATGGTTTTGAAATATTCATTAAAATAGGCCACATTGTTTTCATAAAGACCCAAAACTTATATAGTTTTATTTCATTTTCATATTTGATCATTCACACACTGTCATGCTGTTCCAAACCTATTTGACTTCCTTTCTTCTGTGGAACACAAAGTATTCTGAAGAATGTTTGCTTGTTTTGTCCATATAATGAAAACCAATGGGATCCAAAACACCACTGAATCCCAAAACAAAACACAGAAATTATCTTCCTTTGTGTTCATATCCTATTATGTCTGATCAGGTGTAAAAGCTATACTAAAAATTCAAACAATTTAAAAACATCCAAGTTTCAATTGGAAAATAGTAGAAAAGAATTCCCTAAGCTGGGAGGAACTACAGAAAAATGCCCAAATGTGGGTAAATGCCAAGAAAAACTTCAAACACAAACAGAAGAATCTTAATCCTACATTTTGCAAGTAACCAGTGAATAGATCAGGGGTGCCCAAACTCGGTCCTGGAGGGCCGGTGTCTTGCACAGTTTAGCTCCAACTTGCCTCAACACACCTGCCTTCAAGTTTCTAGTATGCCTAGTAAGAGCTTGATTAGCTGGTTCTCGTGTGTTCATTGGGGTTGGAGCTAAACTCTTCAGGACACCGGCCCTCCAGGACCGAGTTTGGGCACCCCTGGTATAGATGCTAAAACTGGAAGAAAGAAAAAAAAGGTTATTTTAAAAATGTCTCTTTTTTTTTTCCCATACAATGGAAGTCAATGGAGTTCCACGTTGTTTTGGATCCTACTGACTTTCACTATATAGACAAAAGCAGTTCTGTCTTTTTGGGTTCTACAGAGGAAAGTAAGTCATACAGGTTTTAGACCTACATGAGCAGTGTTTCCCATTCATTGATTCCCATACATCAACACTGACTGCCACAAATAGATTTAGGGCTTTTACTTCTTTGAAAAAAAAAAAGAGCACTGCACGTTTCAAAATCAAAACATGGCGCGGGTGTTTTTTATATGACTGTATCTTTGCAGGGAACCAACTGCCTTCAGAAAAGCTTCGATGTCATTTTCATTTCATCTTTCCTGATAAAGTGTTTGTGTATGTAGATAGATAGATAGATAGATTTTTCACCCCAGGGGAAGTGCCATCACATATAGAGTGTAAATCTGTGGGAAACACTGATGAGGGTGAGTAAATGAAGACAAAATGTATATATCTCTTCATATTAAGTGTTTTTTCATTTTATTTTAACTTTACCATGAATGCTCAAATAAACCAGCACACCTATAAAGCTACATGAGTGCCATTTACTCAAGCAGTACCCAACTTGACCCCACCATGTGGTGAAGCAGGAGCACTAGCTACCTACTTGCTATATCATAGACCACCACTGCGGCTGCTGAGTCTCTGATGTAGCTGGGAATGAGGCTACGGAAGCGTTCCTGCCCAGCAGTGTCCCACAGCTGTAGCCGAATCTATGACCGTCCATGCAGAACAACAGGCATGGGGACCCATTCAGCACGCAGCCATGGAAGAGAGTGGGGTGAGGTGGACAAAGACACAACCAAACTTAAAAAGGTGAAATCAAAATAAATGACAAACTAATGACATAAGTGTGATGAGCTACAAGCATGCATGAGGAATTACGCAAATGATAACTGTGATGAATCTGTGACATAGACAGTGAAACCACCTGATGGACTTCAAATAAATAAATAAAGATGTCTTATAGACTTTAAAGGAGATATTAGAAAACATCAAGGTGAATGACTTGAGCCAGTGTGTGTCAAAACCATCTACTATACTGGTACTAATATTGCTAGCCAATTTTTAAACTAAACTAGACTTTATACAAACATGCTAGCTTTCTAATAAGACAAAAGGCTTGGACACACAGAGACTCCTTGGAAATTATTCTAGAAATGCTGATCTCTGTCCTACCGTGCGGTCTTCCAAGTACATGGTTTTTGACAGAAAGTCTATACCAATAGTTGCCTGTAGAAAGAAACAATGAGTTTATTAGTGCACACTGCAAAATCGGTCATTGAAGGAATATTTGTTTTACTTTTTAGACTTTCTATCTTCAGTGGAACACAAAGGGAGATATTTTGCACAATGTTCATATTGCTCTTCTCCTTACAATGAATGCATACATTTACCAGAGTCTGATCAATTAAAAAACAAATGTCTCATAAAATTGTCCTTATTCACAGAAAATCTCATTTGCTCTTGTGCATATTCAAATTTTCTGCATCAAGACACTCTGTGTCCATGGCACCTCAATGGCACCAAATCTCACTGGTTCTCATGTGCATCATATGCACATGTATGAATGCAATTTGAGATCTACAAACTAAATTAACACTGGCCAAGTACCAAATGCAAGTTAAAATTCATTATACACTTCCGTTTAAAAGTTTGGGATCAGGACATTTATTTATTTTAAGGAAATTAATAGTTTTATTCAGCATTTAAGTATGCATTAAATTGATCAAAAGTGGCAGTAAAGACATTAATATAACATATAATTAACATATAATGTTAAAATAAGGAATGTTTCTTGAGCACCAAATCAGCATATTAGAATAATTTCTGAAGGATCATGCAACACTGAAGACCGGAGTAATGGCTGCTGAAAATTCAGTTTTGCATTACAGAAATAATATTTCACAATATTACGGTTTTATTATTGTACATTTATTAAAAAATGCAGTCTTTATGAGCATAAGAAACCTTTTAAAAATATTAAACAATCTTTCTGACCCCAAACTCTTGAATGGTAGTGTATGTTTACCTAGAAAGCCTAAAGAATAAACAATTATGTTTGTATGAAATGTACAGATTCACATCTAGACAGAGCACCTCATATATGATATCGCAAGTGAAACTATGCCCTGAGACCCATGCTACAAACAGCTTCACATTGCCATTGTCATGATAAAATATGTAGTAAATACGTAATAATGTAAATTTTTATGTAAAGTTTCATGGCCAGTAAGAAAAATATAATTTATGGCTGATTAATATTTTCATTTCAACAGACATTGCTAGTCTGCCAAAAATTAATTCTGGATGGTAACTAGAGAGCTTAAAGGGATAGTTCACCAAAAAATGAAAATTCTGTCATGAATTACTCACCCTCATGTCGTTCCAAAACTGTAAGATCTTCGTTCTTCTTCGGAACAAAAATTAAGATATTTTTGATGAAATCCGAGAGCTTTCTGGCCCTCCATAGACAGCAAGGGTCCTACCACGGTCAAGGCACAGAAAAGTTGTAAGAACATCATTAAAATGGTCCATGTGACATCAGTGGTTCAACCGTAATTTTACAAAGCTTCGAGAATACTTTTGGTGCGCAAAGAAAACAAAAATAACGACTTTATTTAACAATTCTTCTACCCCGAGTTACCATCTACCGCCATTATTGAGAGTAACACGACGCATGCACATGATGCTGCTGACGTAGAACACGCATGCGCTGTGCCTTGTTTACGAGCAGAGGAAAGCACACGCATGCGTTGTGTCACTCTCGATAATGGCGGTAGATGGTAACTCCAGCTAGAATAATTGTTGAATAAAGTTATTTTTGTTTTTTTGCGCACAAAAAGTATTATCATAAAATTACGGTTGAACCACTGATGTCACATGCACTCTTTTGTCAATGTTCTTGGTACCTTTCTGGGCCACCCTTGCTGTCTATGGAGGGTCAGAAACAGGGTTGCCAGGTTTTCACATGAAAACCCGCCCAATCACTACTCAAAACTAGCCTAATCGCGTTTTGACTGGGGTCCCCAGGTAAAAATCGCATTCCGGGGGGGTAAAATACACGTTTTTTTGGCGGGCTTCCCTGCTAAAATTTGCTTCAATCCACGGACATGAAAAACAACCTGTGGCAACAGTGTTAAAGTAGCCCAATTCCGCGGGAAAACCACGGAATTGGCAACACTGGTCAGAAAGCTCTCAGATTTCATCATAGTATATATCTTAATTTGTGTTCCGAAGATGAACAATTACGGGTTTGAAACGACACGAGGGTGAGTAATTAATGACAGAATTTTCATTTTTGGGTGCACTGTCCCTTTAATAGATGTTGGTCATCCTATACTTTTGCAACATTTTAACACTGTGACTATTTTTTCTATAAAGTATCTCATTTTGTGTACCATGGAGGAAATGTTTGGATCAACAAGACGATGAGTAAAATACAACACACTTTTTATTAGCGAGTGAACTATTCCTTTAGAGACCAACACTGAACCAAACCTTTGCGTTAGAGATTTTACAATCTCAGCAATATTTGGGCAGATATTAAGATGCACAGTAACACGGTAAGCATCTGTGAACGCAATATGGGCTCTGACAGTCAAAGCAGGTGTTACCTGATAGGTATTATCGAAGCTGTCATACATAAACCTGGTGATAAGTGAAGTTTTGCCCACTGTGGAAAAAGAGAAAAAACATAAAAGCATTAGAAATAAGGGCCTCACAGTAAATACGCCTCAAAACCTAGTGTGCTCCCTACATAGACAGCATGTTTGGTGTTCGCATAGAAAGCATATTGTCACGAAGGGAAGGGATGCACTGGTCTGCAGGATGAGTCTGAACTCTGATCGCTGTGTTGGCAACATGGGTGTCGCCGTCCTGCTTTCACAGCAACATACCATTTCAATACAGGCTAAGAAATGCTGTAACTCTCGTTTACGACAGGTCGCTGATCGTTGTTGTTCTTTTACGTCCGATCCAGCCATTATGAAAATTAAAGGTGGATGTGACGTGGATGATGTGGCAGTTAAACATCCCTGATGTGGTTTAAGATCTCATGATCTTGATTTTCACAGCTGGCTAACTAGAATCATGCTAACTGCTATCCGCTAGCAACCATCTTCACAACAGACAGTATTGTTTTATACACTGAACATGTTCATTCACGGTTGTAGCGCAATGTTGTTTGCATTTCATGAGTTAAAAACGAATGATCACACATAAAAGGCCTTTAAAATGGGAGATCTCTTTTGTGGCTAGTAACAGACAACACAAACATGCTAATACAAAGACTTGATGGCTGCCGTTGATTTCTAACTTACATGCAAGAATACACAAACACATAACAATAACATACTTTGTCGATTAAAGCTGAATTGAGTTGATAATCGTATCTTTTTTATATATAGTTCGGATACTGCAGGATGTTACGTTAAATGCCCCATGATGTCTGTTCGTGTATTGTTCATGACAACAGTTTACTGTAAATGTTGCTGCATTTGAAGTGCTTGTCCCCAATCGAAACTGTCAGATAATTATTTGCATGTGTATTTGGGAACATCTATCATTCTGTAGCATCTTTTCACCTGGCCTGCCTGTTTCTCTGTCCGCGTCTCACGTATCTGAACACTTACCGCTTTGCTCGCCCAAGAAAACCAGCTTAAATTTCCGCAGAGGGTTGCCAAACTCTCCGCCACCGGTCGTAGTAGACATATTTATCGAGTACAATAAACAAAAACTATCTAAATATTATAATATTCTGTGCGCGGACGAACGACACACAGTACAGTCCCGAGACGGAGCGCTGATAGCTGTCGATTCCTGAGAGTGACAGCGCCTCTTAGTGGCCAGAATGTGACATCAGTGGTTCAACCGTAATTTTACAAAGCTTCGAGAATACTTTTGGTGCGCAAAGAAAACAAAAATAACGACTTTATTTAACAATTCTTCTACCCCGAGTTACCATCTACCGCCATTATTGAGAGTAACACGACGCATGCACATGATGCTGCTGACGTAGAACACGCATGCGCTGTGCCTTGTTTACGAGCAGAGGAAAGCACACGCATGCGTTGTGTCACTCTCGATAATGGCGGTAGATGGTAACTCCAGCTAGAATAATTGTTGAATAAAGTTATTTTTGTTTTTTTGCGCACAAAAAGTATTATCATAAAATTACGGTTGAACCACTGATGTCACATGCACTCTCTTGTCAATGTTCTTGGTACCTTTCTGGGCCACCCTTGCTGTCTATGGAGGGTCAGAAACAGGGTTGCCAGGTTTTCACATGAAAACCCGCCCAATCACTACTCAAAACTAGCCTAATCGCGTTTTGACTGGGGTCCCCAGGTAAAAATCGCATTCCGGGGGGGTAAAATACACGTTTTTTTGGCGGGCTTCCCTGCTAAAATTTGCTTCAATCCACGGACATGAAAAACAACCTGTGGCAACAGTGTTAAAGTAGCCCAATTCCGCGGGAAAACCACGGAATTGGCAACACTGGTCAGAAAGCTCTCAGATTTCATCATAGTATATATCTTAATTTGTGTTCCGAAGATGAACAATTACGGGTTTGAAACGACACGAGGGTGAGTAATTAATGACAGAATTTTCATTTTTGGGTGCACTGTCCCTTTAATAGATGTTGGTCATCCTATACTTTTGCAACATTTTAACACTGTGACTATTTTTTCTATAAAGTATCTCATTTTGTGTACCATGGAGGAAATGTTTGGATCAACAAGACGATGAGTAAAATACAACACACTTTTTATTAGCGAGTGAACTATTCCTTTAGAGACCAACACTGAACCAAACCTTTGCGTTAGAGATTTTACAATCTCAGCAATATTTGGGCAGATATTAAGATGCACAGTAACACGGTAAGCATCTGTGAACGCAATATGGGCTCTGACAGTCAAAGCAGGTGTTACCTGATAGGTATTATCGAAGCTGTCATACATAAACCTGGTGATAAGTGAAGTTTTGCCCACTGTGGAAAAAGAGAAAAAACATAAAAGCATTAGAAATAAGGGCCTCACAGTAAATACGCCTCAAAACCTAGTGTGCTCCCTACATAGACAGCATGTTTGGTGTTCGCATAGAAAGCATATTGTCACGAAGGGAAGGGATGCACTGGTCTGCAGGATGAGTCTGAACTCTGATCGCTGTGTTGGCAACATGGGTGTCGCCGTCCTGCTTTCACAGCAACATACCATTTCAATACAGGCTAAGAAATGCTGTAACTCTCGTTTACGACAGGTCGCTGATCGTTGTTGTTCTTTTACGTCCGATCCAGCCATTATGAAAATTAAAGGTGGATGTGACGTGGATGATGTGGCAGTTAAACATCCCTGATGTGGTTTAAGATCTCATGATCTTGATTTTCACAGCTGGCTAACTAGAATCATGCTAACTGCTATCCGCTAGCAACCATCTTCACAACAGACAGTATTGTTTTATACACTGAACATGTTCATTCACGGTTGTAGCGCAATGTTGTTTGCATTTCATGAGTTAAAAACGAATGATCACACATAAAAGGCCTTTAAAATGGGAGATCTCTTTTGTGGCTAGTAACAGACAACACAAACATGCTAATACAAAGACTTGATGGCTGCCGTTGATTTCTAACTTACATGCAAGAATACACAAACACATAACAATAACATACTTTGTCGATTAAAGCTGAATTGAGTTGATAATCGTATCTTTTTTATATATAGTTCGGATACTGCAGGATGTTACGTTAAATGCCCCATGATGTCTGTTCGTGTATTGTTCATGACAACAGTTTACTGTAAATGTTGCTGCATTTGAAGTGCTTGTCCCCAATCGAAACTGTCAGATAATTATTTGCATGTGTATTTGGGAACATCTATCATTCTGTAGCATCTTTTCACCTGGCCTGCCTGTTTCTCTGTCCGCGTCTCACGTATCTGAACACTTACCGCTTTGCTCGCCCAAGAAAACCAGCTTAAATTTCCGCAGAGGGTTGCCAAACTCTCCGCCACCGGTCGTAGTAGACATATTTATCGAGTACAATAAACAAAAACTATCTAAATATTATAATATTCTGTGCGCGGACGAACGACACACAGTACAGTCCCGAGACGGAGCGCTGATAGCTGTCGATTCCTGAGAGTGACAGCGCCTCTTAGTGGCCAGAGATGGAAACGCAGGACACGCTTTGGCTGTGTTTCACAACCTAGTGCTAGAGAGCTGCCTGCCAATGCTGTCTAGGTTCCAGTCAAGTGGTTGAGCGCGATTATGATTGCCAAAATGCTGTCTTAGTAGGCAGGTGACTAGGTTTTGGGACACAGCCTATGTAGTACCTAACAATCGTGCAGCATTTAATTTTCTTTTTATCTTGTCAGTATTGCGAAATTATTTGACACAGCCTACAGTACATTTTCTTCATATAATTCCTAACTGTATTTAGGATATCAGTTTATGCATATTTTAAATGTTATATAAATATTATATATATATATATATATATATATATATATATATATATATATACTTATACTCATTTGGAGGGTAAATCATGAAATAGCATATCGATTTTAAAAATGTTTTATTGAAAATGTACACCATGGAATCTTACTACAGTTAAATATTTCACAAATTTCTTGTATTACAGGGGTGGGGGTTATTGAAATTAAGGGGAAAACATGGGAGATGACTAAAAAAATTTAGGCCAGTCTTGACACCCAAAATGTTTCACACAGAAAACAGTCACTTGTCAATAATGTTATTAATCATTAAAACATGTCTCGACATTGATACGCAAAATTGGTCCTTAAAAATTATATGTACTGCACATATGCATGACCGTCTGTACCTCGTAACTGACTTATTTGAAATTAAATGACTGAAAACCCTTGACATTATATCGAAATGCAATATTTGGCAAAATGGGAAATGACATTTATAAACCATGTAACTGCACATTGTTCCTGGAATAAATACATGTAATAAAATAGTCCAAAGTAAAAAGCATTTGAAGAGTAAATGTCTTAGCAAAGAATAACTCCATGAACTAAAATATGTTCAGGGCATGCAAAAGAACAGAAGATAATGAATATAAAAAGTGGCACTGAATGTGACCTACATGGTATTTCAATAGGTGCTTCATTATGCTTTAAGATTATATTTTAAATAAATTATAACTATATTGCTGTGACCATTTAAGACTTGAAATGTATAGGGGATTACAAAACATACAATACAAACCTCTCAGCTTTTGCTTATTTAGCTCATGCTTTCAAATAAAGATTCTCATTAAAATTACAATGAAATGTCTCTCGCTTAACATTTTGCTGCATTAACAACCAGGAACTTTCGGGCTCATTTTCTTTGGATTTTCTCAAAATTCACAGCCAGCATGTCAAAATGTTTTCAAGACTTAAAAATAATCTTACTCCGCTTAATTCCCAACCTAAATTATAGTGTTTGCCAATAAGTTAGTATCGGTTCGCTCCTCACAGTTAATCACTGTGTTAATGTTGATGAGGACATGCAGGTTCATTCACAAACACATGTACTCATGAAAGAAACAAAATGATTGTTTAATTGAACAGATTGAAACTGCAAGGCAATATCATAGACACAAAATCTGAACTAAAAACTCCAAAGCATTCCTTTAGTTCACAGCCTTTCTACCGGAGCTTTGGCTCTGGTGCCACCAGCAAAACAAATTCTGTAAAATACTAATGAGGGACTGCTTAGCATGCCCTAATTAAGAAACACAGCTAATATTTGTTGTAAAAATACCATGTTAAGCCCACATAAGGCCATCAACAGGGCACACAGCATGAAAGTAAAAAAACAAACAAAAAAAACAATTAAAATATTCAAACAAGGCTGACGGAGTGAAAAAGACAGGAAGAAGAGTGGACGCTTAGTTCTCGTGGAAGCTGCAATCCCCTCTTCCAACAGGTGGCCAAGACAGAGTTAAAAGAAGCTAGAAGAAGAGAGGAGACAAACGCAGATTAGAGAAAGTATCAGGAGGCCACTGAACTCATCAGCACCAGTGGGAAGACAAGTTTACAACAGTCAATTGGAAATGGCCACTCGGATTTTTCTTTTGCCAGCCAAAAGCATGAAGCATTCGGAATGTGGGCGGAACGGAACACACCGTCCTTCTGGCCTGCTTCAAATGCATTGTGCATCCCCTCTTCACAATTTGCATTTAAACATGCATGGATTCATTCATCTTGCATTCTCTAGTTAATAAAACCGTGGTCAAAGGTAACCCAATCTTAAACAGTTGAACTGGGACAGTGATTATAATGATTGCATTTTCCCTCCCCACCTCTCTGAAGAGGCACACATTTTAAAGGAATAGTTCACCCCCCAAAAATTTGCTGAATATTTTCTCTCTCAGGTAGATTAATTCGTTTCATCATCGGAACAGATTCCGAGAAATTTAGCTTTACATTACTTGCTCACCAATGGATCCTCTGAAGTGAATTGGTGAAAACTTTGATGAACGTTGTGTTTTACTTGTGGATTATTGTGATGCTTTTATCAGCCGTTTGAACTTTCATTCTGACGGCACCCATTCACTGCAGAGGATCCATTGGTTAGCAAGTGATGTAATGCTAACTTATCCAAATCTCTTCTGATGAAGAAACAAACTAATCTACATCTTGGATGGCCAGAGGGTGACTAAAGTTTCAGCAGATTAAAATTTTTGGGTGAACTATTCCCTTTAAGCATATTAGTCACACAAAGCATCACAAAAGATACACAGCGAATAAGCACAGCCTTAAGCAAAGGTTTTGGTAACGCAATAATTACAGTTAGTAAAAGCTGCAGAAAGAGCCCAAAATCAAAATACAAGAGGTGATTTAAGAGAAACTTAAGAGGGCTTGGTCCACACTGCTTCCCCTTGGGCTACCGGTTAACCAAAGAGTCTGGGCCTGGTCCCTTATCAAAGCCATACTACTCAGTGCAGAGCCAGGGATTACTGCAAAGGAAAGTAAATACACACACACGGCAGTGAGCAGGGACACCGGAGGGAGCAAAAGCGTTAATAGGTGATAAATATCAATCACATCAATGCCACCTGTTGAAAGACCAGCATCCAGATACGATACAAAACACTGTCATCCAGCACAGAACCAACAGAATCACTGATTTTGCTGAATAGTCTGGTATCTTTAATACTAGCTTTGAAAATATAATTTACAACTTAAACTCAAAATAAAACTGTCATTTTCTGCAGCGACTCGCCTAGACGAAATTTCCTCACTATTTGGTCATATAAGAATCTTATAATGACATTCAGTTAATTTGACTTGTAGCGGTGGTCAAACACTTCACTTGAGAATATAGGCCAAACCTTTAGACAATAAATTCTGATGTATGATTAGTCTTATTACATATGCTCAGTTAAACATAAAGATGCAGTAAATTGCTTCAAAGGTGAAAGTCCAGCTTCTCCCTAAAGCAAATAATCAAAGCATAAACTGAGGAATCAAGATTTTTCAATAGACTAAGCTAATCAGACACTGGCCATGTCACCCCCAATGTGCATAAACATTTAGTGACACGTTTATGAATCGTGCAAATAATAAAATGTAGAATTTAACACTGTTCTAGTGGTTTTTGGATATTTTAATAAAAACATATTACATATTGTGCCTTTAAATCTCACTGCATGGCCGAACTGAAAGCAGCTCATACATCTTCCTATTATAACACTAATGACCATTATGGTACTGCTAATATAATTTGTCCCATTTTAACCTGTGTACTCAACTACTACATACCCACAACAGTAGCCACTCATGCTAAAGTTGAATCAAACACTAGTCATGCAGAACAAAGCAATATCATCATGACATCATAACACAGCAAGTAAAAAAAGGAAAAGAAACAATCGCATGTAAAAATAAAAAATAAAGAAGTTAAACCATCTAAAGAAGGATTCCATTCACAGTTAATATCCCTCCTCAGCTGTGTTATGCGTGAAACTGGGGGAACGGGATGGGAGAGAGGGGGGAGGGAACGGGAACAGCATGGCTCAGGAACACTGAGGAGGGAAGAGCTCATTCACAGCGGGCAGGGGGAGCACTTTCTACAGGAATCCTGAACTGGAAATGAGAGAGAAGGAAGATTATTGTTCCCTACAGGTTACACACTGTTGTATTCACACATTAATTAAAAAAAGATCCAAAATGTTAGTCGTGCATCTGTTAAAACATTTCAAAGCGGTTGCAGGGGGTGTATGTGGTAAGGCTTAGTATTGTTCTCTCTCTGTACCAGATAAAATTCATTACATGGTCTCTTCTGTTGTGTTATGTAAACGAACCAGATATCCAAACTTTAACAATTGTTATTTACCTATTACTAATAGGTCTGTAGCAAGGGATAGCCCACTTAACAACAGCATTATTTCAAGGCCAAGTGTTGGACTAGAGTGACCCAGCTGTAGGAGTCGAGCCATTAAAGGCTCTTTTGTGTAAGATCGTGGAAGAGCAGTGGAGTGCAAACAACAGCAGATTGTTATGGATTCAGATGGCAGATGGCTGCACATCACACAGGGAGAGCAATAAACTCTTGCCTGGCACTGGTGACATAATATCCCCTGCTGCTGCCACAGAGACATTCTTCACATTACCAGCAGTTTTAAGCATGAATAAGAAAAACTGTTATAACTACTGCAGGGCTTTAACACAGCAATTACAGGATCAGTCTAACTGACCACCATCATTACATGTGTTTTTGTAATTTAGTTCCTCGTGTGAGCGAGGGCTTGTGCCTTAAGAGGTACTTTGAAAGCCTTACCAGCATAAGGTGTCTCAGGTGAGGAGGGAGCAGGTGAGGAGTTAACTGGAAAACAGCATGGATGAGACGTACATGACACGTGCACAAACTACACAAGACACCTTACATGCAACATCAAACAATGAATAATCTACATGCCCTGCCCCGCAAGAGCACTGAGGTACATGAGTGAACTATCCCTTTTACCATTCATTTATCTCTATAAATGCAGACTATAAATGTTTCGGTCATAGGTTGTGGTGGAGAACTTTTTCCAGATCATTCGGTGTGACTGTGACCCTCTTCACCTGAAGGGTTTGCTGTCAGGGTCAGTGTCTTTGAATCCCATCTCCTCCAGCTTGCAGCGGCGGTATAGCTCATAGTGGCGAGTGTGAGTCTGCTCTCGCAGGTCCTCCATGTTGACCCTGATCAGCATTTCTCTCAGCTTCACAAAATCACAGTGATTCTCATTCTCCACTGGAAAACACAAAACACATGATATTCAATAGAAAATGCCCACCAATGACTGCCACCATCATATTGGGATATGAAAAGAGAAGGGAATAACTTCCTCCTGGACATGCCATACACATTAATTACCACATTGCCTTCAAGGGTGGAGTTAGTCTAAGATTTAAAGATCTGGGTAGTTTATGGAAAAGTTGCAGATGGGTAATTGACATGATATACTATCCTAAGTAACAGTGGTATGGCAATTTTTTAAGCCTGTGTTTAATTCTTATAGGTAAGTATGTAACGATTCACTCAACTCACGATTCAATTCACGATTTTGATTTCACGATTCGATTTTCTCACAATTTTTTTTAACAAAATGAGATTGAAGACATTATGCATGAAAAGGTGTCGTTTTATTAGGCTATTGCTGCACGTTTCTTTGTGAAATTGAAATATAACAAAATTAAATTGAAATTTTAAAACAAACCCCAAATAAAATAAATCTCTTTATATGAACAAACTAAGGCTTTGTCTGTGCTCTTTCCATTTAAAATTAGAGGCAACCACTGGATTTTAATCATGATCCAAACAAAGATGCAGCATACATGCAGCATGAGTAGTTTTTAATCTAAATTAGACTGTATAATTTCCAAATTTGAAGCAAAAACAGAATGGTCTGACTTTAGTTTTGTGAAACTATACTACATAAAACATATCTGAACGAAACCGCAGATGAGCTGAATGAGTCGCAGATTCACTCTCTGACAGCAGGTGGCGCTTATGAACAGCAATGATACACTGTTTCCTGGGTTACCGCTGTAAACAAAGCAGAGCTGTGCTTATGAACACTACTTTAATGTGCATTGTTCAGAGGCAAGATGAAAAGAAAATACCACGTAAACTTTTCTAAAGCTATTCAGTTCCCCTCAGAGATACATTCATAAACTCCTACTCCAATTGTATCGCGATTTGTTTGACATCTGAACCGTTTTGAATCGTCACATATTTTAATCGATTTTCGACCGGCTCGCGGTTAATCGTTACATCCCTACTTATAGGTGTATACAAGCTGTTTTTATGACATTGTGTAATTGAGAAACTTTATTGAATATTTGAATTTAAAAAGAAAAAATCTTGCAAGACTGTAAAAAAAAAAGAAAAAGAATGTGATCAAAAAGAAATGCTCATTAGAAATGGTGACCATTCACAGAACTTAAAATAGACACTTTTTTAAAGTTTTTAAAAATAGACACTTAAAATACATTAATTTTAACATCTTGATTTTATGAAAAATTGATAGCCTTCTTCCATTTCAGACCACTGATACAAGGACATGACCTCTTTTAACAGTCAGTTTGTATAACTGACCAGCTGTGATCTAGTATTATTAACACTACCAATATTCCCTGCAGCTGTTATTGTAACAGTATAAACAAATAGATTTTTTACATTTGCTGAAGAAATCGTGAGTGGAGCTTGTCTGTGCAAAACTAGGCGCCACAGTGCTGGGGCTTTCTGGGTGGTTGCCAGGGCGTTGTTAAAGGGTCAGTTCACCCTAAAATGAAAATTCTGTCATGAATTACTCACCCTCATGTCGTTCCAAACCTGTTAGATCTTCGTTCATCTACAAAACACAAATTAAGATATTTTTGATGTAATCTGAGAGTTTTTTTTTACCCTCCATAGAGAGCAACGCAACTACCACGTTCAAGGCTTGTTCAAACAGTTCATGTGACATCAGTGGTTCAACCTTAATTTTATGAAGCTACGAGAACACTTTTTGTGCGCATAGTAAACGCATGCATGGTACTGTCGTGAACACACGTCGAAGACTGACGGAGAAGAGAAGAAATTGTTGAATAAAGTCGACAGCGAGCTCAAGCCTCTCATGAAAGAGGCACCTCCGTTTTTCCTCCGCGGAGGAATACTGTCCCCATTCCCGGTGACCCTTTCCTGAAAGGGGAGCAGTGCTAAACATTACCACGAGGACAGCCCATGGAGCGAGGGATTCAACTCCTCGGAGAGGATCCTGCTCGCCAGACGACACTCTCTTAGTACCCCTTGATATCGAGGGGGGCAGTGCCTTCTGAGTGCGTCAATCGAGACACACTGGTTGAGAGGAGCCCAGGAAAAACGGGGCTTAACCCTCTCCGAAACAGGGAACGAAGTCCGAAACGCGTAACCCTCACCATACAGGATTTTTAGAGAGGTGGGCAAAGAAGAACGTGCGCACCTACCACTTTCGTGGGATTTTAGAGAAGTGGCAAAGCATAGCGTGCACACCTACCACCTAGGTGGAATTTTAGACGGGTGGCAAAGCCTAACGTGCCCACCCACCACTTACGTGGATTTTAGAAAAGCGGCAAAGGATAACGTGCACACTTACCACTGACGTGGATTTTAGAAGGTGCGCAATGAGCACTCTTCGGGTTCTATTGTCACCCGGACGTAATGGTTTTAACAAAATGAGATTGAAGACATTATGCATGAAAAGGTGTCGTTTTATTAGGCTATTGCTGCACGTTTCTTTGTGAAATTGAAATATAACAAAATTAAATTGAAATTTTAAAACAAACCCCAAATAAAATAAATCTCTTTATATGAACAAACTAAGGCTTTGTCTGTGCTCTTTCCATTTAAAATTAGAGGCAACCACTGGATTTTAATCATGATCCAAACAAAGATGCAGCATACATGCAGCATGAGTAGTTTTTAATCTAAATTAGACTGTATAATTTCCAAATTTGAAGCAAAAACAGAATGGTCTGACTTTAGTTTTGTGAAACTATACTACATAAAACATATCTGAACGAAACCGCAGATGAGCTGAATGAGTCGCAGATTCACTCTCTGACAGCAGGTGGCGCTTATGAACAGCAATGATACACTGTTTCCTGGGTTACCGCTGTAAACAAAGCAGAGCTGTGCTTATGAACACTACTTTAATGTGCATTGTTCAGAGGCAAGATGAAAAGAAAATACCACGTAAACTTTTCTAAAGCTATTCAGTTCCCCTCAGAGATACATTCATAAACTCCTACTCCAATTGTATCGCGATTTGTTTGACATCTGAACCGTTTTGAATCGTCACATATTTTAATCGATTTTCGACCGGCTCGCGGTTAATCGTTACATCCCTACTTATAGGTGTATACAAGCTGTTTTTATGACATTGTGTAATTGAGAAACTTTATTGAATATTTGAATTTAAAAAGAAAAAATCTTGCAAGACTGTAAAAAAAAAAGAAAAAGAATGTGATCAAAAAGAAATGCTCATTAGAAATGGTGACCATTCACAGAACTTAAAATAGACACTTTTTTAAAGTTTTTAAAAATAGACACTTAAAATACATTAATTTTAACATCTTGATTTTATGAAAAATTGATAGCCTTCTTCCATTTCAGACCACTGATACAAGGACATGACCTCTTTTAACAGTCAGTTTGTATAACTGACCAGCTGTGATCTAGTATTATTAACACTACCAATATTCCCTGCAGCTGTTATTGTAACAGTATAAACAAATAGATTTTTTACATTTGCTGAAGAAATCGTGAGTGGAGCTTGTCTGTGCAAAACTAGGCGCCACAGTGCTGGGGCTTTCTGGGTGGTTGCCAGGGCGTTGTTAAAGGGTCAGTTCACCCTAAAATGAAAATTCTGTCATGAATTACTCACCCTCATGTCGTTCCAAACCTGTTAGATCTTCGTTCATCTACAAAACACAAATTAAGATATTTTTGATGTAATCTGAGAGTTTTTTTTTACCCTCCATAGAGAGCAACGCAACTACCACGTTCAAGGCTTGTTCAAACAGTTCATGTGACATCAGTGGTTCAACCTTAATTTTATGAAGCTACGAGAACACTTTTTGTGCGCATAGTAAACGCATGCATGGTACTGTCGTGAACACACGTCGAAGACTGACGGAGAAGAGAAGAAATTGTTGAATAAAGTCGTTATTTTTGTTTTCTTTGCACACATAAATATTACTGTAGCTTCATAATATTAAGGTTGAACCACTGATGTCACATGGACTATTTTAACAATGTCCTTACTACCTTTCTGGGCCTTGAATGTGGTAGTTGTGTTGTTGTCTATGCAAGGTCAGAAAGCTCTTGGATTTCATCAAAAATATCTTAATTTTTGTTCTGAAGATGACCGAAGGTTTTTATTAGGAGTAATTAATGACAGAATTTTAATTTTTGGGTGAACTAACCCTTTAAGGTGTTCCAAGCATTTTTTAGTGCACTGCTATGTGGTTGCTTACTGTCCCGTCGAAGGAGCTCATCCCCTACTGTCTTTGATATTCTAGTCTCTAGTTATGGCTTGTGGCCTTCTCTCAATCTAAGTTTACAGGATTTTTTTCCAGCTCACTACCTGATATACATTTGCATAGAAAATGCATCCCTTTCTGCATGGTTTTAATACCTCAACTAACTTTTAAGAAGTAACTTTGACCTTTAAAAAAGTAAACAATGTGCCATGAATCACAAGTAAACATTTGACACACAGCGGCAGTGATGCATGAAAACACACGCATCACATATATGCATTTTTTTTCTCAGTCTGGTCAGCCTTGCAGTAGGCTAAATTAAGTAAGAGCACGTGAGCTGCACCGTGGCCACATGATAGAGAGAGAGCGAGATTCAGAGTGATGTCACAGACAGCCTGATGACAGTCAGAGCACCGCTGCTATAATGTTACGCATCAAATCACTGCTAGCATACCACATGTTAACAAAGACTGACAAGACAAATTGTGCATGAAGTGAGCTGGATTTGTACAGATTATTGAACGTGACATATGAACATCATTGTACTGTAGATCCTCTTTTTCATACAAGACAAAAGGATACTGCAATATGTATATGTACTTTACATTTTTTTTTAATTTACAGTAAAAATAAATGTTTCTTGAGCAGCAAGTCGGCATATTAGAATGATTTCTGAAGGATCATGTGACAAGAATAATAGCTGCTGAAAAGCTTTGCGATCACGGGAATAAATTATTTTTAAAAATATATTCACATATAATAGTTTGGGATAGGTTGCGCTAAAGGATTGTGATTGTGGTGCCATCAACCAATCAGTGTTGTACTGACGTAATTTTCCTGTTGCTCCACAATGATTTGTCACATGGAAATTACAGCTCAGTTTCTCATTCTGACATCCCTAACACATTAGCATTCTGCCCTGCTGTGAAAAAAACGCAAGAGAGAAAGAGGATGGTGTGTTGAATGGAAGTGTCCAGGCACAGTACTGCAGAAAGGGAGGGACGGAATGGGTTTGGATGTCCTGAACAAAGAGGCCAGGGCCAAACAGAGGGAAGAGCTCAGTGTCACTTCCTCTAGAAGACGTGACCAGCACTTACCCTGGACGGTTCCCCAGGGGTACTGGCGTGCTCGCACCATCTTGTTCCCAATCTTCACTTCCTCAGTGCTTCCCACCACCGCAAAAGGCAAATGACCCTGCAGAGGATAAAACAATCCCACAAACAAATAATTTAGCAGAAATACTCCAGTCTATTTTAATTTCTTACAGTAATAGACTTGATTATGCAACATTTAAATCCATTTAATTAAGAAATTGGCCTAAACGCTGTTCTGTGAATCCTGAAAAAATGTATCATGGTTGTATCACAAAAACATTAAGCAGCACCACTGTTTTCAACATTGATAATGATTACCAAAAAAAAAAGATTTCTGAAGGATCATGTGACATTAAAGACTGGAGTAATGATGCTGAAAATTCAGCTTACAATCACAATTTTATAATAAGAGACTCCTTTCAAAAACAATAAACAAAATCTTGTCAAGACTTCTAAACAGTAGTTTAACTAAATGCATTCGTCTGTCAATCAGTATGGGTCTAAGAGAGCGTACACACAGAGGAATAACACAGCATTCTCCTCTCTACTAGTAAGTACTACATCTCACAATGGCAAAACCCTGAAAGAAATTACCTTAAGACAACATTTACTAGATAAGAATGTCCTTTAAAAATCACTGAGAAAAATATATGAGGGCAAATCCCACTTGAAATGAGTGGGAAGGAACCTGAGGTCAGCTATCTTTGTTATCAATGGTTAACCAGTACTGGAAGACCTCCACAGTAACCCTGCAGGCTTAGGCTGTGTGGTGAACTTACATTCATTCATGCAGCCTGCTCTATGAGTGTGTATCCCACAGTAAAAACATGTTGTTGTGAGAGTACACTGAAGAAGAATGCCTCTCCTTTTGTGCTGTCATTTCCTGTGAGCAAACACAAGCAGAAAAGCTGGACACCATATGGACTCTCTCACTTAAACTGCTGAACTGTGATGTGAAATGAGAACTGGACAAGCACTGAACTATAAAATATGGCTGTGTTGTCTCCAAGCAAAACAGGACATGGTACATTTGTGATTGATTCTATGTAAAAGGATTTCAAGTGGAAGAGGAATGCATCATTCTTAATCGTTTCTGTAATCAAATAATGCAAAAATAGTGTAAGTACATTTTGTTCTCTTATTTAGCACATAGTAACTAGATTTTAGACTTAGAAACACAAAGGCCAACCCTTTTCTCAACTATCTGCACAATTTTAGGTATCACTCATAGCAGAAACAAATAAAATGTGGGATGAGTTGCACACCAAAGATAATAATTTAGGGGGATTAGGGGCCTGTTTTTTTGTATAAGCAATATTAATAATTATTACTACACATTAAAAGAACATCATGTTACAGTGCTTCCCATCCATACGCTCTAACTGGGCCAGGAAGATAAAATTCGAATTCCACTATGAATTTCTGTATTTTCTGACCTCGGTTGGATGACCCGTGTAAATTGCGAAAATCTTTTTTTTGGGGGGGGGGGTTTAAAGAGAGAGAGAGGGAAACTGGATCAACCAGTGCTTCCCATACATTGATTTATTTGTGGCGGTCCGCCACAATATCCACACTAACTGCCACAAATATTCACCGCCCCCCCCCATCAGCTCCTGCATCTCACACACACAAGCACAACTTTATATAGCAACTTTCAGACCCTTTTAGCGACTTTTTTTCCATAAAAGGCACATGCTGACAAACCTAGCGACTTTTTTGGATAAACCTTAGCTATTGCTCAGTTGGAAGATTTCTCCAGTACTGCCCCACGAGCGCGAGGTCTGAATTTCCCCGCGAAGTATCGCCTCTCTTAGCGTCTATTCTGTGCAGTGAGCGGCAGAGAAGCAGCGCATTCAGTTGGCCGTACTGCAGCGGATTAGTCAATAAATGAGTACAACACAGCGTTTCTAACCACCTGTTGCTTACTGACTGTTTGGGCTTATAAATATGAACATAGTTGGTCTGTTAATATGCCGCCGCACTGATGCAGTAATTCATGCAAAAGGAGCCCCTACCAAGTATTGAGTACATGTACAGTAAATGAACATACTTTCCAGAAGGCCAACAATTCACTAAAAATGTTTTTTTTATTGGTCTTATGAAGTATTCTAATTTGTTGAGATAGTGAATTGGTGGGTTTTTGTTAAATGTGAGCCAAAATCATCACAATTAAAAGAACCAAAGACTTAAACTACTTCAGTCTGTGTGCACTGAATTTATTTAATACACGAGTTTCACAATTTGAGTTGAATTACTGAAATAAATGAACTTTTCCATGACATTCTAATTTATTGAGATGCACCTGTAGTTTGTTATTCAGATGCAGACAGTGCGCTGCATGAGACAAAAAATGAATATAGCCAAAACCACCGCATATAGCTCTTTAGTCTAGATGTATGTTGATTTATTCAGATGATGTTGTGCATTATAAATCAGGATTTAAGGAGTATAGTAAGAGTGATTCCTGGTTAACATGTAGTATTAATGGTTTGTGTTAAGTCACTATTTATACTTGTTTTATGCATGACAACAGAAAATGTGTAAATGGGAACAGCTTTATTGGGCATTCAGTTGTATTACAGTATGTGACAGTTCAGAGAGTAGAACAGATCTTAAGTGCCAAAACTTGTCCGAACGTAAACCCGACGCAATGACGTCATAAATATGCTAATTAACATGTGACATTACCTGCTGCCACAAATCTCACAAAATCCTGTGGGAAACAGTGTTTACATGACAGTAAACGAACGGTAACCAAATTTAAATGTTCATCTTGCTGAAAACCAAAAATAAAAGTTTATTTAATAATCAAATAAATTAATCAAATGTAACTGTCCCCTCTCAAAAACTGTCTATAGCTGTATATAAACATTTAAATAGCACAAAGACAGTGTTTATATTGACTTTTCATGTTTCTACCCAAATTTTATTTGTTGTGAAATTTAAATGATTTATTCAAGCATACATTAAATAATGAAGACATAACGAAATATTGAAAGACATAAAAATAATGCAAATAAAATGAGTATGTAATATAATGCATATATATTTATCAAAATTCTCCTCCCTAGAGTTTTGGACATTGACTGGCTTTTCTGAGGCAAGTTGTTGTATTGACATTTTCCCATAGTTTAAACACTGATTGAGTAGTTTATCCATGTTGTGTGCACATATAAATAGATTTTGTCCCTCCAAAAATTTTTTGGGCTGAAAACGAAAAAATTCTTGGTTACTTACATTCATGGTTGAGTTGATCTCTGCCACAGTCTCATCGTCAGTGGGAAACTGGTAGATCTGGACCCCATTGCTCACCAATTCACTTGTGATCTTAATTTTGAACTTAGCAAGTTCACTCTTTGAGATGGCATCTGATTTGGCGATGATGGGGATGATATTCACCTGTACATAAGAGGAGAAAGACTTTTTGCAGGTATTTGGGAATAATCAGTAATCAGAAATTAAATCAATTTATATACACATGAATTAAGATGACAACCAAACACCGCTATGGTCAGATGATTTCTGTGCGTATAAAATTCCAAACAGCTCTAGTGTGTAAATATTTCCCTTTCAGACAGCTAACTTTCAACCACTCAGGCAGTAAATAACTAGATACAGATAAATAAACTAAATACAGCAACTCAAATCAACCTCAGAACATCTGGCTAAGTCCAGACAAATATAGACACTCAGCTTTTCTCCTGTTATGCCTGAGCAAATGGAATAAATGGCACACAGAGAGCAGAAAAACGATTGCATTTACTTCACGTGCAGAGGCTGCTGCAGACACATGTATTTGCACAAATAGACTACGCTTTTAGAAAACTTTAATTAGGAGCAGTTAATGCAATTAAAATGGACTCCATAGAATGCTGTGCAAGCTTACATAAGCTCATCCTGCTCACATCTGAACATGCCTCAAACTGGAACAGAATTAAGCATATGCAGCTTTTTGACATTCACTTTGAAACCAATTCAGAGAGGGTGTTTAAAGGCCTAGTTCAGCTAAAAATAAACATTTGCTTCTTTAAAGCTTGAGAGCCTCAGCCTTGAGAGCCTCACTTTCATTATAAAGAAAAAATGGCCTAGATGTTCTTTAAAAATTAATTTTGTGTTCCACAAAAGAAAGACAGTTTTGGAACAACATGAAGGTGAGTAAATTATTATTTTTTTTTGGATGAATAATTCCTTTAATCTCCAGTCTCATGGGGGTTAAAAACTAACTATGCAGGATAAGTGCTAACCATGCTAATGGGTGGGGAGCAGTCTCGCGTAGCCAGACCTTCAGACTGACAGCTGAATGTCTGGAATTCATGGCAGCTTTCATTGGCCAAGGGCCCATGAGGCCGTTTGACCGACATGTCAAACAACCAATCAGTTCGTTTTGTTCAGCATCACGTTTCGGGCGTGGAAATGTCGCCACAATAACAGACCGGTGTGTAAAACTCTCGGACGTATTTTAAAGATTCTATGCCGCAAACTTTAAATATTTCACATACTTTTGAAAATCCAGTGTTTCGTTGATCCTGATAAGCGCTCATCGTCCAGGCGGAACGTTAAAGAACGCGACACACGCGTCTCCCGGAAATCCTGTATAATTCAAGCAATCCGACGACAACTTTGAAACTCCTGAAGTGTTTCCACTTTTGTGTGCCATAAGCATCAGATGTTTAGCCAACGCTCCCCGAGACTAGGTGGGGAGGGGCGGTTATAATCAAACACCTCTCTCTAACACACAAGTGCACATATGGAGTGCTCTGATCCCACTCACTCAATTTTTACACTCCTGCCTCCCACACCACCATCTAAATACTATTCTCAGTAGCCTGGCCACTAGTTTTACGCTTTGTCTGTTTCCTGTAATTTACTACTGATGAATTGTGACGTTAACACAGGCACTTTAAATAAAGGTTTAGCCACAGTGCAAGTACACAGGAATCTCTTCTCAAACATACGAGGCAACATCTCCACACGGAGACGCGTTTAGCTGTATATGCATACATTTTGTATTGTATAGGCGTTTCGTCCACACGGATCTGGTGTTTTGGGAGAGTGAAACCGATATTTTTTGAAACCGGGTCTCACCCAGCCCACGTCTCGCCCCTAGTCAGACACCGCTACATCACGTAACAGCAACAAAAACATGAACAAACACTGAATGATTGTCTTATTAACTAACATTAACACCAATTAATAAATGTATTGTTCCATGTTCGTTTGTATCCCGCGTGCAAGGTTTATGCGCATAGTCAAAGTCTTCTCCGTTTTTAGTGTATCTCTGTGGCAAAATTACAGCACCACCACATACTGGTCTGGCATGTATACTACATTGTTTTGTGTCAGTTTCGTGTGGACGCAGATATTTCTTGAGACGAGGGGGAGCAACAAAAACATGAACAAACACTGAATGATTGTCTTATTAACTAACATTAACACCGATTAATAAATGTATTGTTCCATGTTCGTTTGTATCCCGTGTGCAAGGTTTATGCGCATAGTCAAAGTCTTCTCCGTTTTTAGTGTATCTCTGTGGCAAAATTACAGCACCACCACATACTGGTCTGGCATGTATACTACATTGTTTTGTGTCGGTTTCGTGTGGACGCAGATATTTCTTGAGACGAGGGGGAAAAAAAGATCGGATAGGGAAAGCTCTGGCTTCGTGTGGATGTAGCCTAAGAGAGCATCTTTGTTCAGGGAGTCTGTGCAGCACAGATAGAGATGAAAAAGAATGCAGTATTACACAGCTGACCTTCATTGACTCCATCTACACAGCTCCAATGACATTAAATATGGCATAGCCATCAGCTGAATGCTTAATAACCCACATCTTAAAACATCAACTGCTCTGCACAGTAAAACAGTAAATAATGCTAAGCCAAATATATAGCAGACATTAATTAAATAAAAGCCTATTTTTGTAATAATTCAATAAAAACATGATTATTATTATTATTGCTTAAAAGATCAGTTATTTTTGCTAGAATAAAAAAAATAATAAATCACAAAGTAATGTATTTTTGATAGCCCACTACATTAAATACTGTACCGACTAAGAGATTTCTACCGCTGACCATATTGTCATACTGATCAGTCATAAATGTGATCAGACATTTGTTAAAAATAAAATACATCACTAACCTTACTGTCCAACTTCTTCATAGTAACCAGGTCAAGGGACTTTAGCGAGTGTCCAGTAGGAGCGATGAAATACAGACAGGCGTGGATCCGAGTATCATGATAACTGTGTAGGGTGCGTTTAATCTTCAGTTCCTCCTGAAGGTATGCTTCAAACTGAGCATCGATAAACTCCACAATAGACTTGTAACTGCAAGTTGAACAATGAAAAACATGGAAATAATTACTTGCGGCCAAAAGAAACAAACAAACGTAACACTCACACTTAAGTAAGATTAGTGTTCATGTACAAAGAGTTTAAAGCTTCAGGCTTATTACAGTAAAATAAAACTCTGTGAGCTTTGATGGGAAAAAGTACTGGTTCAGGTATCTATAAATAGTTGGATAGCTCAAGACTCATAAAAGTGCATCTTCAGGCAAAATAAAGCTTGTCACAACCATTTAGCTTAATAACATGCCGTTTCAGTCAAATCTGAACAGGATGAAAATCCTTTATAACTTGGCACTTTCTTAGCCCACGGCATCAGAATCCTGAAAGTGGGGTTATATCTGGTTTCATGATGCCATCCAAACTTTATATTATATTGAGCTCTGCACACAAAAGTGTCACATGACATGACAGCGATCAAGAAAAGCAGGAACAACAAAATTCCTTTTATAATACATAATAATTGGTATCGAAAAAATTATTATATATTTTTTTATAATAATAACTACGTTATAACTATGTTTCACACTAGGGCTGTGCGACATTGAAAAAAAATGCGATACCTTGTTACAAAATGCGATATTCGATACGATATTTCTTAAAGTGTGAAAAATCGATTTAAGAAAAACATGGAAATAATTACTTGCGGCCAAAAGAAACAAACAAACTTAACACTCACACGTAAGTAAGATTAGTGTTCATGTACAAAGAGTTTAAAGCTTCAGGCTTATTACAGTAAAATAAAACTCTGTGAGCTTTGATGGGAAAAAGTACTGGTTCAGGTATCTATAAATAGTTGGATAGCTCAAGACTCATAAAAGTGCATCTTCAGGCAAATTAAAGCTTGTCACAACCATTTAGCTTAATAACATGCCGTTTCAGTCAAATCTGAACAGGATGAAAATCCTTTATAACTGGCACTTTCTTAGCCCACGGCATCAGAATCCTGAAAGTGGGGTTATATCTGGTTTCATGATGCCATCCAAACTTTATATTATATTGAGCTCTGCACACAAAAGTGTCACATGACATGACAGAGATCAAGAAAAGCAGGAACAACAAAATTCCTTTTATTGTGAGTTTTTTTCTTATGAAAAATGCTACAAAGACTATGAAGTCCCAAAATAAACAGGGGCTTTAAAAGAGTAGTGAATCCTCTGTAAAATCTTTTAATTTATCAGTAAAAAGTAATCATTTATTGTTGTGCAATTTAAAAACATCCAACACAATGTTCTTTGTAGTCATGACTAATGACAAATAAAGCTGATCATGGTTTCTCGTCTGAGGTTTATCTATTATGAAACATACTAGACTGAATTTGATATATAAATTATTATATATTTTTTTATAATAATAACTACGTTTATAACTATGTTTCACACTAGGGCTGTACGACATTGAAAAAAAATGCGATACCTTGTTACAAAATGCGATATTCGATACGATATTGCTTAAAGTGTGAAAAATCTATTTAAATTATATTTTAAAATATTTAAAAATGAAAATTATATAACCAATTTGTTTCACATTCTTTCTTGGAAAAGAAAGCATCACTACAACTTCTGAAAGTGACCAGCAGTGTTTTAGCAGTACATAAAAAGTAATGTCACAAATCAGAAAATGTAATTTTAACATCAATGTGAATGACAAAAAAAATGAATGACACTAATTTTATATT